CTGACTAGTATTTGGATGGGAGACCACCAAGGAATACCAGGGTCGTGATGTGGAGGCAAGCAACGGCAAGCCACCTCTGAATGTTTCTTGCCTTGAAAACCCTAAAGGGTCACCATAAGTTAGTTGTGACCTGAGGGCAACAACAACAAACAAACAATTTGTAGTCCAGTTCTATGTTTGTTTACTGAGAATTAAATCCCATTGTGTTTACTAGGAATTACTCCTGGTAAGTGCACATAGGATTATAGATTTATTTACATATTCCTTTTAAGCGATATGTTAGTCACCTGGGGTTCTATACGATTTTGGGCTCTTTTTGTAACAGGAACTTTTTTGCATATTATGCAACACACCCGTAATGTAGCCAATCCTTCAAGAGTTTATAGAGCTCTTCTTACAGGGACTACTGTAAGTTCTTGGAGGATTGGCTACATTAGGGGTGTGTTGTCTAATACGCAAAGGAGTTCCTTCTACAAAAAGAGCCCTGACTGTCGAACTAAAAGACAACATCATGGCAGGGCCTCAGTTAATTACTCTCAGCATTCCACACTTTAAAAAGGTACATCTGCCCATCAATCTCCAGTTTTGATATGTTTCCTTCACTATGTTTCCTGCTGCAATTAAACCCAAACGAATGATAACTATATAAACTAAGATTGTTGTTCCTGTTTGGTCCTTGCATCTGTTAAACATCTTCATTATGTTGTATGCTAATTTGCTGCTCACCCTCTACATACATACATACATACATACATACATATATATATATGGACTGGCAACTTCCATTTCACTGTATCTGAAGAAGTGTGTGTGCACACAAAAGCTTATACCTTGAATAAAACTTTGTTGGTCTTAAAGGTGCCACTGGACTTGAACTTTGTTCAACAAAAAATTACATTGAGGTATGATCCAGAGAGCTTGTTGCAACAGCTGAGCAAACAAATATCCACCATTAAAATAACCAGCAACAGCATTAAAAGATATTTCCAGCCACTGCTGCCTTCCTAACAAAATGTTCTAACACAGAAAGGCAAGCAGGGAGGAAGCCTTCTAGGGAAGCAAATTCCCCAATCTCTGTGCAATTGAACAGAACAAGGTCCCAGAAGACCATATCGATGCAGGCAGATCTCTAGACATCCCCAGTCCTTAGCAGCACTTTGAACAGTAGAGAGATTATAATGCAGTAGCGATATGTCACTTGCTCGTGTTTTAAAATTGTCCTCCAGTGGGAGCCAGTACAAGAAGACTGAGGGCGAAACTGCTGTGTGGACACTCCATTGCCACAGTGAATCCCTCTCGTTCACAGTAGCAATGAAGAAGACAGGGGAGGGGGAGGAGACTGGATTTATACCCCACCCTTCACTACCAGAAGGAACCTCAGAGCGATTTACAATCTCCTTTCCCTTCCCCTCCCTACAACAGATATCCTGTGAGGTAGGTGGGGCTGAGAGAGCTCTAAGAGAACTGCCCTTGAGAGAACAGCTCTGAAATGACTTGTAACTAATGCAAAGTCACACGAGCAACTGCATGTGGAGGAGTGGGTAATCAAACCCGGTTCTCCCAGATTAGAGTCCGCGCTCCTAACTACGACACCAAACTCACAGTGACACAGAGAATCATCACTAGATGGAAGCAGCTGGACATTATATGAGAGATGTCTGGCATAAGGGTCTGTGGACTGGAGTACTTTATTGGATGCATACACTGATACTTTCAGCAGAGTACACATACATATACAAGAACTGAATAATATAACCAGCGACACCACAAGGTTAGGGTTGTCAACTCCAGGTTAGGAAATACCTGGAGCTTTGCAGGATGGAGCCTGGGGTTGGCAGGGTTTGGGGAGGAGAGCCCACCCTCCAAAGCAGGCAGTTTCTTCAGGGGATCTGATCTCTGTTGTCTGATCAGATGTAACTATAGTTGACAACTCCAGGTTAGGAAATACCTGGAGCTTTGCAGGATGGAGCCTGGGGTTGGCAGGGTTTGGGGAGGAGAGCCCACCCTCCAAAGCAGCTATTTTCTCCAGGGAGGGGAGGCAGACCTCTATAGTATGGAGATCAGTTGTGACCAGGGTTGCCAGTTCTGGGTTGGGAAATTCCTGGAGACTTTCGGGATGGAGCCTGCGGAGGGCAGGGTTTGGGGAGGGAGAGCTCTCAGCAGGGTATAATGCAATAGCGTCTACCTTCACATTAGCATGTTCTCCAGGGTAACTGATCTCTGTTGCCTGCGGATCGGGAGATCTCCAGGTCCCACCCGGAGACTGGCAACGTTAAACACAGGAGATGCATACAGCCCCAGGTACTGCCTATGGGCAATCGCGGTCCTTAGTTTTAGTACGTCCCCAGCTCAAGCGTACGCAAGAACAGCGATCTATTCCCATGTGCAATTTCACTATCCAAATACACTATAGCACACTCTAATCTAACACCAGTAGTGCGAGGGGGAAAAAAAATACAGGCTCCATATTAAATGCTTATCTTACTCCAGCAATTGCACGGTGCGTTGCATTTCCCTCTTTTAAGCTTTAGGAGCTGATTAAGACGGAATGATAACCCCCGGGCCAGGAAAAGCAGAGGGCAGCAAGCCTCTTTCCTACTTACCTCGTATCTTCAGTAAAGAAGCGAGCCTGAAGCTGCGCCATAGCTACGGCCCGAAACAGCCAAGCCGAGCACCGGGCTCAGAGCTTTCCGCCTCTCCAGCACCAGCAATGCCTTCCCCACGTGGCTGAGAGTCACTCGGCTTCGTAGGCCCGATCGCTTGCTCGGCGAATGACTAGTAATGCCTGACGGTAGAGCAAAAGGAGAAGACGGTTCGCAAGTTGATTGGGTGTATCTTGGACGAATCCCAGCTTTCCTTTTCTCTCCCCTTTCCTCCACGTGAAGTTCTTTACCCTGTTCAAATAAACATGAGTCTTGCGGCTCATTCAAGGCAGGATTTAAAAACTGTAATTCTGGCAAAGGGTGTCAAGCTGCAGCCTACTTTTTTAGGTGCACCGAGCGGAGCCTCACTATATCACAAAGGCACAATACAGGGGGCATGAAAATGTGGGAAGTACAAGGTGAAATGCAATTATGTAGAATTCAAATCTAGTCGAGGAAAAGGGAAAATAAAGCATTCACGACAAACATTAACCTGTAACGGATGGGGCGTCCCAGGTTTTGCTAAGGTAGTTTACTGGGACGTCTTACTGATAAGTAAAACCTATTCAACTTCAGAACAAAGTCTAAGTCCAGTGGTGTGGCACCTTTAAGACCAACATGCACTCAAAAGCTTATACCCAGAATAAAACTTTATTGGTCTTAAAAGTTCCACTGGACTCAGACTTTTCTGCTGCTTCAGACCAACAAGGCTACCCCCCCTGAATCTATTCAACTTCAGGGGACGTACTAAAACTAAGGACAAGCGATTGCCCATACGCAATACATGAGTGGACAGCGATTGTCCATAGGCAATACATGAATGCCAATAGAGAATGCATGATTGCCCATAGGGAATAATGAAGAGTAGGCTTGCCCATAGGGGATAATGGAGTACATAATTGCCAATAGAGAATCCATGATTGCTCATAGGGACATAATTGTGAACAGAGAATCCATGATTACCCAAAGGCAATATTGCTCAGAGGTCGTTCCGGCTCCCTCCGCTCTCGTTAGGGGCTCTTTTAAAAAGTTATGGCTGCGGGCAGGCGGGGCGGGAAACGTTCCCCCGCCTCCCTGAGCCCCGGGGTGGTGGTCTTGGACTCCTAGGGGCAAATTCCGAGCGGACATCACACATCACACGCGAGAGGTGGCATTTGCCCCTAGGAGTCCAAGGGCACCACCTCGGGACTCAGGGAGGTGGGGGAATGTTTCGGCCCCCCCACCGTGTCCCAACTGATGGCTGGTTGGAGCAGGGGGTGGGGCTTATGTGCCCACCCCCTGGGCTCCTGACTGGCGGAGTGGTGCTCCGGTGCGCTCCGGCAGGAACCCAGGCCTGCGGCTAATGCAGTGGCCCATGCTGTAGAGTAGCTGCAAAGACTCCTATGGTAATATATGTGATGTGAGTAGAAAACATTATATAACCGCTAAGTATTGTTTTCGTTAAGTGTTGTGTTTTCTTGAAGTGCTCAAAGAGTCAAATACTTCATTTATATTCTGCCTTTCTCACAAAGACTCAACGTGAATTACAAAAAAATTAAAAATACAGCAAAGCAATACAATAAAACAAACCCCCCCCCCCCCCCGGAGGGACCCGCCTTGGCCAGACTTGCGTGCCTGAGGGCGGGAGGCGGGCGGGTCTTGGGAGCGAAATGCTCCCACTTTCCCTGGAGGGTTGTCGCCCGCTTTGGGCGAAGGCGGAGGAGGGCTGTGGTGGAGACCGGCCGTGCCAATCCCAGGCCGGCGCTGGGGGGGTGGGGGAAGACCGGCCAACCAGCGTCCCTCTCATCCAGGGTTGCTATATTTTGAAAAGCGAAAAAGAGGACAGATTTTGCGAGTGGTTACTTCAGACAACCGATCGTGACAGCTCTCATTTTAAATACCTCTACTGTTTCTGATTGGACTGCAAGGAGATCGAATCAGTCAGTCCTAAAAGAAATCAACCCTGACTGTTCCCTGAAGCTGAAGCTCAAATACTTTGGCCAACAACTGAGAAGGGAGCCCTCACTGATGCTGGGAAAGATTGACGGTCAAAGAAGAAGGGGAGGGCAAAGGATGAGATGGTTAGACAGTGTCATCGAGGCAACGAACATGAAATTAAGCAAACTCCAGAGCACAAGAGAAGACAGAAGGCCTGGCGTGATGTGGTCCATGGGGTCGGATTCAACTGTGCGACTGAACAACAACAACACTGTTTCTGAAGCTTTCCTCCACTGAGGGAGTATGGGACAAAAGAGCCTCAGCCTCCCTACGGAAAAAGAGGACGTTTTCATAAGTTTTTGAAGAAGAGCCCAAAAGAAGATGGGTAACAAACAAAAGAGGATGTGTCCTCTAAGAAGAGGACATCTGGTAACCGTACACACATCCCTCTCCTCAAGTGGGAAGGAAGACCTGTTTTCTTCAGGATGTGTTAAAAACAACCGCCCAGATTGCTGTTCGTGTCCCAGGTTGATGATTCCTGACAGTAATTAGCTGTCATAGTGCCAAAATGAAAGAGGAACTCTGTAGGGCGTTTTAAGAGAATGATGAAATTTTTTTCTGGCCGCAGGGTTCCCTCAGAAATAAAAATCCAGTTTAAAGGTTGGCAACATTTATTTTGGCAGGAGCTTTTGTGACATGCAGCCCACTTCTTCAGATAGATAAGTGAAGGAAAATCATCCTGGGAGATCTTATGGGGAATGTATTGGGTTAAATGTTAAAAAAAAAAGTCATTTGCCTTGGAAACACAAGCTTTTTTTCACAGTATCCCCAATTCTTCATATTTCCCCATTTAGGGGAAAATGCGGTTCAAATGAATTACAAAGACAATATGCCGCCGATGGTAACGAGAAAGAAATTTTACTTACAAAAAAATGGAAGCGCATCATACATTACATATTCATGTAGGTACATTTAACTTACTGTGAACAGATGAACTTCTAAAAGGTTAACTTGCTACAGCTCCAAGCCCAGGAAAGAGAGAGAAGAAGAGAGGTCCTATATAAGATGAAAAAGAAGGGCCAAAGAGGCTCAACATCTAACTGATGAGAGACTGGGGCCAACTGCCAGGTGCACACCAGTGAGAGAATTCCCTCCAAGATCCTCTTTCATGCAGTTAAAATACCCAACACCCTTTCTTAAAGTCACATGCCGGAGTTGCCAAATTTCAGGTTATCTTGTAATCTATCAAATCTGTCTCTTGATAGAGGCTTGGTCAGGATGTTGGCTCTTCTGTTGAACAGTATTCCATCTTTATTATGCCCATCTCAGGTCACACACTAAGTGAAACTTTACACCAGTGTGCTTAGTGCATGCAGCCAATCTTTCTGATGAAGAAATCTTAATGCAGCTCTGGTTGTCTTCTTTAAACTGAACTGGCTTTTCCTCATCAACTTCAAAGTCCTTTAGTAACTGGTCTAGCCACAACAGTTCTCTGCATGCTTCAGCAGACGGTATATATTCAGACTCTCTGGAAGACATACTTTAGTTTGCTTTCTACTGGCCCAAGAGATGGGTCCAACTCCTTATAGGACCAAGTAACCACTTGTGGATGTATAGTCTAAGCTGTCTCCTGCCCAGTCTGCATCCATGTAACCTACTAATTTTGGATTACTGGCGAATAGGAATCTTAGTTCCAAATCTAAAGTTCCTTTTAGATATTTAGCCACCCTTTTTACTTAAACCCACTCTTTCTTGCTAAGTGCACTTGTCTTTCTATTTAGTATCCCAACACTGGTTGCAATATCAGGTTTGCTAGTGGCTCAAGTGGATAAGATGCTGAACTGCAGGCTGTGGAAGGTCAGTAGTTCAGCAGTTCGAGACCCGGGTGCTGCAAGACGGAGTGAGCTCCTGTCTCTAGTTCCAGCTCCTGCCAACCTAGCAGTTCGAAAGCAAGAAATTGCAAGTAGAAAAATAGGTACCACTAGGGGAAGGGAACAGCTGTCCGTGCGCCTTTGTGTTTAGTCAGGCCGGCCACATGGCCATGGAAATGTCTTCGGACCTCACTGGCTCTTCGGCTTGGAAACGGAGATGAGCACCACAACTCTAGAGTCGGATTCGACTGGCTTTCGAGCAAGGGAACCTTTACCTAGTGGTGCTTAGGGATAGAAATTTTCCTATGGCATTTCTGCACAGATTGTCTATAGGTAAAGGCTCACTTATTTTGGTGTTCTTAAGTAGGTCATTTTCCATAGGTGTTGCCACTGTGTTGGCATTTTCTAGACCTAATATCTGTAAGAGTTCAATTATTTTCTTTCTCCTATTCAGGAGAAATGAACCATCTTCCTCCCTTTCCGTTCGTATGCCCAGCTACCGTGTTTCCCCGAAAATAAGACACTGCCTTATATTTATTTTTTCTCAAGAAGACACACTAGGGCTTATACCACAAATGCATAGAAATCCTGCTAGGGCTTATTTTTGGGGTAGGTCTTATTTTCGGGGAAACAGGGTAGTATGAAACATCTTCTAGCTCCTTAATTCCTACTTCTCTATTTAGGTACTCTAACACACTGTTATAGTGCATTTGCCTGTCATAATCCAGAATCAAGTCATCAACAGGTGAGAATAGTTTGCACTCAGGAATTGCTTCGCCCCACCATTTATTGGGTATGCCTGCATCCATGAGCGTGCATTTGCTCATCTCCAGTAAAGATCTCAGTTTCCTTTCAGCAGGGCCGTTCTGCTCAGGTGTAAAGCTCACCGACTTCTTGTGCAGGATGCCTTCCTCTGCCAAGGAGGTTTATGTATGATGTGATATAAATGTTAGTGAGGAACAATTCCTGTTGGGGTAATACCCTAGCACTCACCAAGTACAGGATATTCCACCTGTTTAGAGAGAAATAGCAGCGTCTGTGAATCCAGCATGGAGATATTTCTGTAGAGTACACGTTTTCAAGAAAGCAATGTTTAATAACTATTTACAAAACCATTTAAACAACATCCTGGCTAAAGGTTACGAGGCTTCAATAACTTTACCTCAGTATAACACACTAATAAGGAGAGAGAGGAAGAAGAAGAAAAGTGACAGTTAACTCCATGAATAACAGTGAAGAAGAGAGAAGGGAGGGGCTGATTGTGGATGGAGGAAAAAAAGTACAGAGCATCAACCCTAACCACTTATTGGTATTTT